TTTTACAGTTGGGACCCAGAACCAGGAAGTCATTTGCCTACCAAATACTGAGCAAATATTTGAATAGTTTTCTCCCACCTATAAACTCCTGTCTGAAAGGTAAACCACTTAGCTGATGACTGGTGAGAAACAGCTACACAAATCTAGATAATAAACACACAAGAACACACAGACACACACCGCTTACCTCTCACTCACTGTGGCCAGCCAAATGAAGTGGTGAGATTAGCTTACTGCTCCACAGAGATGTTCACTGGTGTATGACAGGTATTAACAGCACACAAGCGTGTGTATTGTGATGAGGGATTGGAGCTGTCGTGTGTGTTGTGTGTGTGTGTTGTGTTGTGTGTGTGTGTGTGTGTGTTGTTATGAGTGGGATAAAGACCTCTACGCTCCAGGGCAGAGGAATACAAGCTTTTCACTTCCAGTTTGTTCATAATAAGACATCCTTGACCTTTAGCAAAATGGCTCCTGTGAGACTGTTAAAACAGCTTTTTCCAGCATAACGCACGCATAAAACTGTGTGCACAAACAGAGGTTTTTAAGAGGCAGCTGTCAGATTGATGTTAACAAGCGCCATTTCCAGCCTTTTACATCAAGGACACACATCTCGGGTTGGGCGCACATAAGAATACTCCAGGATTTGTGTTGCTGAGGTAATTGGAGGACTGGGACCAGCCGTTTGTCTAATAACTTAAAACTACAACATGGGATTTAAGAGTAAACACTGACTCTTTACACAGTAGAACTGCTATGAGGAAAAACAATTTTTCCCACGCATAAAAAAACTATTTTGCTCAAATTATTACAAAGAAAATACAACAACTAACTGGCTGCCAGATCTCACAGGCCGTATTCAGACAGACTATAGCCCTCAGGCTGCCGTTGCTGTGTTGCTACAAGATACCTGTGAAAGACAAAATGCGACTCTAGTTTGGAGGCTTATCAGTTTTTACTCCTCTAAGGTGCGTCTTGGAAGGGTACTATTACATTTATTCAGTTGACGTTTTTAACCAAGGCGACTCATGGTATGTGCATTCATCAATGTGGATACAACCCAAAAACGGCAAGACTCATGCAAGTACATCAACTTGCTAAAACATGCTGCACTGCCTCAAGTGCTACTTTTAGAAACATTTGTATCATAAAGCAATCATTATCTCTTCCAACTCAATGATTTTTAGCTAAACAGGAAAATTCGCACAATGCTACAAAACTACTGTTGTGTAGCTGCTCAGTAGTTGACTCATTTGTAACAGGGTGTGAATCAGTATATCCTTCCATTGACCTGCAAATAGAAATGCAGTGAGTCTTTAAGGATGTGTCATTGGTAAAGATATTCAGTAAAATTGAAGATTTAAAGATGTTTCAAATTGATACAAATAAAGATTCAAGTTGTGCTCTGTAAACTGATGTTCTAATTAGTTTGAATGGAGAAAAGCAGAAAAATAGTTTCAAAAAGCTAAAATCTGAGACTATAAATATCATTGTGTTGTGTCTGAGTAAACAAAAGGCATCTGTTGTATCCTAGCCGATAGCCATGGAGTGAAAGAGTGCACTGATCGAGACCTTTAGATACGAGGGGTTGCTAAGGAACATGAATTCACACATAGCCCATTTTTCTCTACAGCAGCTGCGTCTCTTCAGAGCCCGGGTAATGCATTCAGCTCAATCTGCCCAGGACCATGTGCACCGCATTCAACAACTGCTCTCCTGTGGCTCTGCCTAAGACAAAAGGCCTCAACGATGCTATTAGGGTTGGGGCCAGACTGAACGGTAGACACGCTTACAGAGTGAAAAACTGGAAGGGTCATTACTAGATAAACACAGGCGAGAGGGAGAGGAGGTAGACAAAGGAAGAGAGAGGACACAAAGTGTGCTGTTTTTTAGGACTAGCTGCACGGTCTTATCAGGACTCCACAGGACATCTGCTACTGCCACCATGTTGGCGTCCATCTGTCTGAAAGAATATGACAATCACCATAAACCTGAGCATTAACTATAATTTTACTTTGACATTTTCAATTATAACCATTTATTTTTCTGAGCAAGCACCTGCCATAAGGTGGAATGAAACTTCAGTACTACCCTACTTTGTCTTCTGCAGAGATGTGGAAAGTAAACCCTGTAAAAAAGAAGAAATATCGTTTAAAAGTTGGGAAGCGCCTGCCACCAAAGCTTGAGTCTGTCAGCTGGCTGAGAGGACTATTCTGTATTTTTGAATGATCTTTAATGCTTCTAGGTTGTAGAAAGACTTCTTTAAAATGATATGTTATTAAAGGGTTTGTAAGAAAAAGTAATATTTTCTACATTGAGAACAAAACGTTGTACAATGGTTCAACAAAACTGACAATTGAAAGGGCCGAAAGAGACAAAGATAGGGTACGCGTAGGGTACGCACATCCAAAAAACCTCTACAGGTGCTCGATCAAGAAGCAAACTAAAGGTAAGAATCAGACAAAAGATCCACACAATGTACTAATCGCTCCCAGCTATTTTAATTGAGCAGCGCTTCGATCTAACAAAGATGTTCGTCAGGCATAGATCTCTGTTGGATCGAATCGTTGCTCAATTAAAATAGCTGGGAGCGCTTAATACAGTGTACAGATCTCTTCTTGTCTGATTCTTGCCAACAGTTAAATAAGAACAGAAGAAATCACCAGTCATTGGTAAAATAAATTGGAAGCTTAGCAGCAAAATCTGTGCAGATTTAAGAAAGAGGTTCCTGTTTCGGTGTCAAGTGCACAATAAGAATAACAGCCTATAACAAGCTGGAATTAACTGGCCTGTTGCTATGGCAAAGTTATTCTTAAAACTTCCAAAGAGAAATAGAAAGGTTGGTCTGGGGTTAGCACTATTGGAATTGGTTTACAGAATATCAGATGAACATATGGACTGACAAATTTAAACCTTTTTAATTTAACCATTGAGTAGACTACAGAGGGCCCAAAGAAAAATGAGTTCCCAAAATACTTAGAGCCCAATTGCAGCGTGGGGATTCAACAGTGATCTAGGGTCACTTATGTTTTTCTGGACTGGAAAACAAATTCAAAATCAAAGGATATTTGAGGGGAAAACAGGGTTACAGCAGTATTCTGCCATATCATGCAACACTGTAGGGACATCAACTGATGATTGACCTTTGATAGTAGTACTTTATCTTTTCAAGATATAAAGTTGTTGATTAGTCTATGATTTCTAATCCCCATAGATAGGTGGCCAAACATATGGTGTTGTTTCCAGAATAGCCGAGTGAGAGTTTGATTGGGAAAAACAAACATCAAATATCTGATACATCAGGGTAAATATTAGCTTTTGCTGATGTTTATGCTGATGTGTCAATCACTTGGATTTGAAGAGATGAGATTTCTTTCTAGTCAGTCAGTCAAATCATACAGGGAGAAATCAAAGAAGAGAACGACAGTAGCTTGAATAGTCCATAATGCAACACAGCTTGGAGACATGTAGCGCTTTGAGTCAGGAATGGGGCTCCACCTCTTAACCTGCAATCACTTTTTGCTATTGCTAGCATTATTGCTTTCTGGGCCTACAAGTAAAACCCTGCTGGATACAAAATATCCAGGTGAGATCTGTGATGTAGACCAGACAGAAAGTGGGCACAACAAAAAGATAAGTTAAACTCCTTCACCACAAAATACTGGAATGTTCAAACATAAATACTAAAACTTCTGGAAATCATTTAACATCCCAGAATGATGATATGTAACATACTGAAGAAGTATCAGATGATGGAATTTTTAGAGTTCCATGTCAAAGCCGTTTAGTTCATCTTCAGAATACTAATTTAGCAATTTTAATCTGGCATTTACCAGCCCTGGAAAATCTGTGAAATTGCTTCAGTACGTGTTGTTTTTAGTAGCGGCTCAAGTGCTATGGCCATACCCCATCAGCCACTCTCACCCAGACTCCATTCAGACACATTTACTACCCATGCATCTAATTATCAAGTCAGTCGAGTCTTTCTCTACAAGTCTTCTTGACTCTTGGCCAGCAGCCGTAGAACTGCCTGCTGGGTTTTGGGATAAAGCCCATGACAGAGTGTGCTATGTGATATTTAAACTTGTTAGGAACTTGTGATGGGATTAGTTGGTAGGTTAGTATTTGTTTTTTTAAACAGAAATAATGTCTTAATCTCAATTTAGCCAGATATTTATATATTTTTCTGTGTTGGAAAACGTTGTTGTTAGCATGGTTGTTAGCCACTCACCGGCAGTCCCATGATGCTTTGGTTTGACTCTGTTTACTATTCAGAGGCTGAGTTCCTGACTTGCTGACCAATTAGAGCCAATGTGTGGCAGCTCTGATCTCAAAGGCATTGCACAATGGAATAACATGAGCTTTACCCCACTGCCATATCAAGATCTACACAGCCCAGAGGGTTAATAAAGCATCGGTTATCAAGAACAAACGTTTCATAATTTTAATAATTTTGTAGTAATCCTTGAAAATGACTAATGACTATAGACTAATTACGCATTATTTTTATAATCTGATTACATGTAATCAGTTACTACCCAACACTGATAATATGTTGAAACTCCATTACACTGCCAGCCAGCACATGGCCTCTAATGAAGACTTGACAGATGCCGAATCAAATGGCTCACAGTCGACATGAACCATCTTATCTGAGTTCAGCATGTGAATAACTGAAGAGCATGTCTTGGACATGTGTTGCAATCTTGACCTTGCATGGAGATTTGCTTTTCACCCTGCAGGGCCCAATGTGATTATGGCTGATTAGCTTATTGCTCCGTTGCTCACAAATAATCAACAAAGAACCCAAGTACAAGACCTCAGAAATCTTACATTATGCAGCAATATCTGATGTTATTTTCTGTGATGCAAAACATTTCATCAGATTTGAAACAAAAACATCAGACACTAATTACAGCTGCTAAACCCAACCTCCTGCTCCTAATTAAGACATTTTTTTTCACAGTGCAGCTCATCTCTCTCTGTCTCTCTCTCTACCTCAGACTCCCTCGGCGGCCCGTTCCCGTCCACGTCACACCGATGTCACCACAAACCCAAGAGGTGCCTGCCTATCCAGTGTGGCAGTATTGGTGGGACCCTTCCCATGAGTCCACTTCTCTTCCATCCAAATGCCAAGGGATCCCAAATCGTCATGGACCTTGCCCAGAAGACGGTCAAGAGGCAGGCCAGTTTCTGCAATGCCATCACCTTCTGCAACAGGCCCATAGCGCTGTATGAGCAAGTCCGCCTCAAGGTATTTTATGTCAGGATGGAGCAGTTGAGCTCCTAAAAGACTGGGAGCTTTTAAACTGTCAAACTATTGTACTGTTTTTATCTTAGGTTTACATTTAAAATGTGTGGTCCCTCGACGAAGACTCCACCCCGCTGTTAGCACTGAAATGAAAACGAGTCAAATATAATGCAGGAGTTAAGAGTTTAGGGTGATTTACAGCCTCATGTCAAATGGCTGCTCTATTTATATCACATTTCTGGGAAATAACCAAATATTTTCGAAATAATACCAATAAAACCACATTTGGTTCTCTTCTTTTCAGATTACTAAAAAACAGTGCTGCTGGAGCGGGGCTCTACGTCTGGGCTTCACCTCCAAAGACCCCTCCAGGATAAACCCGGAAAACCTGCCCAAGTATGCCTGCCCCGACCTGGTGTCCCAGAGCGGCTTCTGGGCCAAGGCCCTGCCTGAGGAGTTTGCCAACGAAGGCAACGTTATCGCCTTTTGGGTTGACAAGAAGGGCAGAGTCTTCTACCGCATTAACGAGTCCAGTCCCATGCTGTTCTTCAGCGGAGTCCGCACAGCTGAGCCCCTCTGGGCCCTCATTGATGTTTACGGTCTGACACGGGGAGTGCAGCTGCTAGGTAAGATGGTTGAAGAAGCATAAGATGCACAGTTGAATTACCTACCAGACAAAGCAGGCAATCGCCCCAGGGACTCAGACCCTTAGAGGCCCAAATTTAAAGGTCCAGTGTGTAGGATTTAGTGGCATTTAGTGGTGAAGTTGCAGATTGCAACCATTGAATACTGCTTGAAACTAGGAGAAACTATGGTGGAAAAACGCAAAGGCCCTATCTAGAGCCAGTGTTTGATTTGTCCTTTCCGGACTACTGTAGAAACATCAAAATGGAGGACTTTATAGAAGAGCTCCCTCTATAGATAAAAATAGCTAATTCTAAGGTAACAAAGAAACAACAACGATTCCTATATTCAGGTGATTATACACTAATAAAAAACATAGCTATTATATTCCATTACTGCCAACAGAACTTCATAAATGCTTCACACTGGACCTTTAATTAACTGATTAATACTAACTAAAATGGAAAAGGGTTTTAAGGAATAGTAACAGAAAATATGATATGGTAATGTACTTTTACCAAAGTATTACCAAGTGTGATAATTTGTCTTTCTTGTCAACTATATCATCATTATTTTTTCTTTAAGAGCCATGAGCTGTTTAGATGTTTTTAGATTTTGGTGCTTTTACTTTCCACATGTCTGCAAAAGACAAAGCAGGTTTTCTTGTGTCATCATGTTGACTGTAAACAGGTCCTTTCTGGAGGTTACCCTTCCTGTCTTTGTGTACAGTAAAGCCTTACATGAAGCAGTGGAATAACAATGAACAAAAGCTATCTATATCTGACCAATACTTGGCCCCTGTGTTTACACAAAAAACAGCAGGGTTAAAAATATAAAAAAAATCACGCTGCTGGGCATTATCAAGGTATGCTCGGTAGCTTAAGATGCATACCACAGCACAGGATAGTATGGCCTGGGCTTTGATGTGAAAGAATGTATACACACATTTCTTTTCCCTCAGTGCTGTCATCCCTCTTGCCACTGTAAAAATAGACCAGGGGTCACATGTCCCATAGATAGCACATTTGATTGTAATTGTGCGCTGTGTTGATTGACACTGGTATCTCCAGGCTGGTGGGGGTGGATGTTTAGTGTCTTGAGTATGAGGGAACCCGTATTCTTTGTTTCCCCTCTCTGTGTTTGCGTTTGCCTTTCCCTTGATGACCATTGGCACTTAGGGTTCATAACTCAAAGTCCTGTTCCATATTCAACAAAGTCTGTCCTAATAAGTTAATGTTTGCAGCTGGAAAATCAGATAAAGGGACATGCAGAAAATGGTTCAAATATTACAATGGCAGAGGCCCACTACCACCCCAAGGTTTGCCCTGATTGAAGTCTCTGTAATGCATCTTTCTGAGAGAGGTCTGACCCCTTTGAAACACTGCTCCAAGCACCAGTTTAATCAAAAACTGGGCTTCTCCGTGGCCACACTTTAGTCATTTCTACTGTCTTTTTACAGTCAGGCCATATGCAGGGCTGCCTACAGAGGAGTGCTCCTGTTCCTGAGGCGGCCGACTGACTGACATCTTCCCCTGTAAACGGGGCTTGTTCAGAGGGGTGGAACGCTACCGAAGGTTGAGATAGAAATATATAATCTAGACTAGACTAGAGCGTCCCTTTGTGACACTGAATGGCCAAGTGTGTCAGCTCTTTGCATCACGTTTCTGTGCGTAACGCTCCATGACTATCCTCAGATAAGCCCTTGGGCTTTCACATCTGAAGCCTTTCCCTCGCTTTCACTCTTTATTTTATCTGGCATTTGAAGAGCTGTTTTTTTTCCCAGCCTCTGATTCACAATTGAACCAGTATAGCTTGGGAGTCAACAGATATGACTTACTAATAATAATTGACTCTGAATCAGCTGCTATAACATTATAATTTCCCTTTGGGGATAAATAAAGTATTTCTATCTATCTATCTAAGAGAAGTGGTAAAAACGCAGCCTTTTCTTTATTCCTTTTAAATCTTCCAATACCTAAAAAGTCATTTTAGAAAAAATGTAGGTTTAGCTCCTTTTTACTTTTAATTTAGATCCTTTATCACATTCTCACTTAAAATATCCAATTCTCCCCAGCCCACACCTCTATTCTTTGCCGCCGTGATCACCACATTCCCCTCAAGGATCAATAACATTTATATTCTCTCCAATTCAGCGTTTTTCAGCAGCGGGATTATTCATTGTGCCCCCTTGGAAATACTATAATCCTCACTACATAAAGATTGAATTAAAATTCTACGGTGGATTAAGTTTCTCACTCCAACACATTTTGTACAGCTTGTGTATGTAGCCCTTTCATAATGTAAATTAGCAGGGGGGCCTCTGGTGGTGTCTCTATTGTCTCCATTCAGCACAGATAGTGCTACACACAAACATGACTTCCACTGCCTATTCAAGTGGCTTCTCCTTCTAGCTGTTGCAGTATGTTGCTTATCTCACGTCACCCATTTTATTTTATGGCTCCTGTGTATTTGCTTGACTTGCTGTCAGTACATATTTGGAGCGGGTTTTTTCATGAACACTTAGCTGGGTGCTTTGCTTTATCATGACTAATGGTTAGACAAGTGGAAGGCAGGTCTTGTCACAGTAGCTCACAAGTAGTTATTCTAACACTGTTTCCACCCTCTGCTCTTAAAACCCACAGAAAAAATAATTGTATCCCTTTTTGTTCTTTACCAAAAACACTATTAATATGGAGCTTACTACAACCCATACATAAAAATGCAGCCTCTGAAAGGGGGATTTAAGAATGACTTGACTGGAGTAACTAAAAGCAGATGGCTTGATTTGGTTGTTTAATTCCTGCAGTAAGTTCACAGGAACACTCAAACGCCCTAAAACTCAATTAACATACTTTTTTGCCATTTTCGGACAGCAGAGACCAGCTGTAAACACAACACTGATCACCATTTAAGTTGCTATGAGTGGATAGAGTAGCCCACAGTGGGTTTATCAGAGCCTTTTTTCCGAGAACAGCTGCCTGCTATTGCTGGAAATGGGGTTGATGGGAGCAGCTGAGTGAACCAAAACAGTAGATTTGGATTGGAAAACCAAAACCACAGTGGCGGATGGAGAATTATAAATCTATACTCAAGTAAAAGTTCCATTTCCTTTTTTAAGGTGTGCTTAAAAAGTAATGTTAAAGTTGAAGTTAGCATTACGTTAGCGTAACTGCTTTCTAAAGCCCACCAATTTAAAAGCCCAAGAGACAACTGGCTACAAGATAAGTAAATGTCATTACTATATCATTAGAGATTAATGTTAAATATTAAAAATAAAAGGTCCACTGTATAACCCTTAAGAAAGGAATATAATATCCATAGGTATGTTTTCATTATTGTATATTGAACTCATAAGAATTGTTGTGTTTTTGTTACCTTAGAATGAGTCATTTTTATCTACAGGGGGTTGCCTTAGATAGGTCGGCTGTAGATAGGGCTTATTTGTGGCCATCGTAGTTTCTCCTTCGCACTTCACAGCCCGTTTTAATTCCCCGGTCGTCAAATACAGTGACTGGTGCTCAGTTAGTTGCAATATGCAATTTCACCACTAGATGCTACTAAATCTTTCACACTGGTCCTTTAACATAGCTAACGTTAGTTAGCTAACTACATTTTCCCGACAGTATGAAAGTAAAGTAAGTAAAGCTTTATTTATATAGCACCTTTTTGACACAGAGATCCAAAGTGCTTTACAAACA